GTTTAAATTTTGTTTTCTCTTGGAGTGATTTTCAAACCTGATGTACTTGCTCGTCGGGTAGCGCATTAAACTTGGCCAACTTCCAGAGCGACAGCGGGGAAACCGAAGCGCTTTCAATGTCAGCGGCGGAAAACGTGTGCGGCAAATTAAAAAGCCACCGCCGATCGATGGATTTTCTTTCAGAAATTAGCACACACCCAAAAGCTGAACCCGTATTTGGGGGGCACTCATTCGCTGTGATTCAAGGCCGGGCTGAGCGGGAATTTACAAGCCGTAGTCGATTTCTCATCATTTTGCATATCTTTGGCGAATTTATGTTTTTTTTCTTTCATATAATTTATTTATTTAGTAATGTGTGCGTGTGCGTGAGCGTGAGCGTAAGCGATTGGTGGTGGCATCATTTGCAAATTAGCTGATGGACAAGAGAAGGCGTCTCCTCTGGCGTCAAAATCGGAAACATATTCCGCCACCTTCGGGGGCCCAAGTTTCAATTGAATTCATCTCCGCCCACGGCGTTTTACACCACAATTGCACTTCATTTGGCATGGCAAGCCAATAAAACCGTTACACTTCAACTCCCACAAGCTGGGGAGTATAAATAGTAAATTGCACATAAATAAATTTTAAACACTATGCACTATTAAGTGATTTAAAAATAATTATGTATATTTTTCAGATCAAGTTCAATTAAGATTGTTTAAAATAATGGCGATCATGATTGATTAACTTGGAACTTTGTGAATATGTAACTCATTTTATTATTACCCTTAACCACGCTCGTGTAAAATGTACATACATATGTACATATGTATATTTATTTCCAAAGTAATTATTTCGTATTGCCTTTCATTCAAACGGATTGTTTTATGTATGAATTAATATCGTATCGATCATCATTTAATAATAATTTCTCTGTGTGTATCGCTGGCAAATAACACACTGCAAATGCCGGAATGCGGTAATGGCTCCTCCGCAGCCTCTGGCTCTATCTCTATCTCTATCGTCTTTGGCCGATTACGTCTTGCCTTCTCACAGTACTTTGACTGATAAACAGCAGCGGTAATAATGAATACACATTTATGTACATACATATATCCATTCATACATGCGCATATACATATGTATATTCCCCGACTTTGAACGGCATCACTAACCTCAGACAAGCAAATCATCAAAAAGGGAGAGAAAAGAAGCCGGAAGGCAAAAAATGTACCGCAAAGTTGAGTTCGTTTCAATTTCTCATTTCGATTATGTTTGTGTGACGGCTCGAACGCAAAATACAGTAGATATTGGCTAAGAGTTTTTAGTGGACTTAATAGTTTAAAATGATATTAAGTCCATGCATACAGGAAAAGCTTTTTGTCAACAAATCCAACCAGCCATGTTCAAAAGGAACACATTTAAATGGCATTTCTTAGCCTGTTTAGTGAACCTTTTAATACAAAAAACATATATCTAAAAATACACAAAAAAGTAAAAAATTACCTGGTCACAAAATGGGCACAAATTCGTTAAACTGCTATTATAGATGGAATGGAGTATCGGCTTCTTGAATTCTAGCCACAAATAGTCAACGTTTTTAAGTTTTTTTGAGTGAGGGACTCTTTTATATCATTCCAAAGATTCTCAAATGGATTTAAGTCTGGACGGCGCTGGCCGTTTAATAACTTGAAGTTTTTCCTTCTTCAATCACTGCTTTAATACCTTTGATGAAAGTTTCGGGTCGTTATCATGCATAAATGTCCACTTCACAGGCATTTTATCAAAAGTGTATGGTTCCGTTGTGTTCTTTAATATATTTTAAAATTGATTTCGATCCATAATACCATGGATTCGGCAATCAGGCCCACTCCATGCCAGGAAAAGGCACACCAACACATGATATTTCCTCCTTCATGCTTTAAAGATTTTGTCGTATTCCTAGGGTTAAGGGCCTGGACCCATGTTTCCCCATCGGGTTCCATCCTACTTATTTTAGTTTCATCGCTCCACAACCCAACCCGAAATCATTTTAAATACAAAAGTAATCTATTCATCGTTTTTAAAATTTTTAAAAAATATCAAAGCTTTTCTGTATTGTACGTAACAAATATAAGTGGGTGATATTTCTAAGCAATATTCACTGTAACAAGCTAAGCAGAAAAAGAAATGATCACCCGGATCGAAAACAATGCAGCTTGAAGCATACCGCAAAAGAAAAGAAAAAAAAAGAAAAACTTTGCTTGCAGTTAGAAAAAAAAAGGTTTTAGTCTGTTCGGTTGTTCCACCAGTTCCTATTTTTAAAATTATATATTAGTTTTTCGTATATTTCGTTTTTGAATTGACAAAAATCTTTCTCTTATTTGAATTGAAATCGGATTTTTAAAGTCATTCAACTATGCATTGTATGTATATTGAGTGATCTTTCCCAATGCACCTTTTGATATACTCGTCCGCCTTAAAAATTTTAAAACCGTTCTATTAATTTTTCAATCCTTTTAATGACAATTTATATTTTTGTGTAGAAACGAACAGACGGGTATATTTACTCGGCTAATGCTTAGGTTAAATATATGTATGTACATACATTTGTTATGTTGTTGGAAATGTCTCATTTGCTGTGATTCAGACTGCTTACTAAAATTATAATACCGTCTGCCAGGGTATACAAATTCCAAAAACTCGTCGCAATCACAATAAGATGCAAAAATAGGTGCGCACAAATTTTTGCAGGCAAAATGGTTTGTTCGCCTTGTATGCCACAGCTCAATTACACACATGCCAAGACGAGTGTGTGATGAAAGCTATACAGAGACACACAAAATTACTCTTGAAAGCCCTTTTAATGACCGCATTGCGTATACGCCGCTTTCACTCTCGAAATTCGATAAGTGATTCAATCTTGGTTTTGGTAGATCCGAGGGCTTTTGCAGATTTGTAAACATTTTAATAAACAGAACTTTTGCCTCGCCCAATTGAAAGCCAATGTGATGAAACTTCTGTGGCAAATGAAATTTTCAGTAGGGAAATTACGTCACTTCCGCCGGAAATTGCTGTTGAATGTGTCGCAGTTTTTTAAATGCATTAAGTTTTTTTCTGTTAGGATAAAGATATACATACATATGTACATATGCTGAGCTAATGCACATTTTGTTAAGCTTGCACCTGACTGAGAGAAATTTCCAAAAGTGTTTCATAACTTTTAACATGTTTAGCGAGAATTTGCAAAAAAAAAAATAAACAAAAAATCATCAACAAAAACTGTTAACGTTTTGTTTTAAGTCTGCCTTTTGCTTTTTTTCGCTGTTACTGAACAAGATTTCAAGGTTGTGTCGCTAAAAGTAAGGCGAGCGGGAAAAAAGTGAAGATGCGCACAGGCGAAACAACAGAAACAAAAAAAACGAAGAAAACAAAGCTCAGTGGGTCAAATTTTTGTGCGTTGGAGCCCTTTTTGTTGGTTTATTTTCTCAATTTGTTTTAGCATATGGCCACGCCCCGCTCAACTGCAAATATTGGCGGGCTGGAGACGATGTTTGGGCCGTGATTTATGGTTAAACATTTTGTGACCTGAAATGCCCGAACGAGCCATGTCTATATTTTGACTCGAATAGGATCGGTGCGAGTATGCACGATTAAAACGATCGTAAGCAAAGTCAAGAAAAGATCGTCAGCGGTTGGTGATGGTCAGCGATTTACATAAAACCGAAACGCTTATATCATCAAATATTAATTAACTTAATTGCAGGTCCAAGTGGCATTTACAGTCGAACTTTTGGTTTCGAACTGCCTTAGGCCGAATTATATAGATAACTCAAAGGAAATTGTTAGTTATTCTCACATTCCTTTTGAATTGAAACTAAACAAGGGTCTACGATAAATTGGTGACAAAAACGAATCCAATATTTTAATCCACGATTTGAGAAAAAAAATATGTAAAAAGATGGGAAGGTACAATTTTTTTTATATTTTTTTTTTATTTTCCGATGTTCCCATGAGAGCTATATGATATAGTCGTCCGATTTTAATATAATTACAACCGTAATACTGAAATAAGAAAACATTACTATGAATTGAAGAACGACAAAAAAAATAAACAAGAAAAGAAGCTTGTAGCTTCGGCAAGCGAATGTTTATATACCCTTGCAGCTATTGTAAAACGAAATATTCTTTAAAACATCTAAATTTCGATTTATATTCGTGAATGTTTAAATACATTGAAGCCATTTCGATTTTTAGCTCAAGTTTTCTGATTTTAATAATATTAAAATCGTTATTCTGAAATTTTAAACCATTACTATAATCAAAAGAGTTTGTTAAAAAAATTACAAAATGGAGAAGTTGCTATAAATTTTTATTTTTTCTGATTGTGTTAATGTGAACTATGTACATGGTTAAGTCAGCCGATTTCAATCAAATTTAAATCGTAATTCAGAAATATCAAACCAATACTTATCTCAAAGAACAATAAAAACTATTAAAAAACAGCAAAGTTAAATTTTTTTTCGACTGTTCCTATGCGAGCTATATTTTATATACAAACTGCAATGCAAAGACAGCTTTTGGGAAAGTTTTATGCAGATAGCTCCAAAACTGAGACTAGTTTGCGTAAAATGGGAAAGAAGGACATGAAGTGTTGATCTGTCAAGAACTTGGCTTTTATACCCTTGAAGGTGTTATTATAATTTCAGTCAAAAGTTTAAAACGCAGTGAGGACCCTATAAGAATATATATTATTGATCATCATCACTAGTCATTGCGTTGCTTTTGACTGAGATTATAATATTCTCTGTTGGAGATATACAGGTTTCCATATTATTTTAATTTATTATAATCGAGATCAGGGCTTTTAACTTATAAGCTTATTAAAACGTTGACCATTCTTAATCTTAATATGTTATAAACTATTTCTCAAAAAAAAAGACCATCACTACCTTACCATCGAATAGCCGAATCAAAAGAGGACTACATATTAGCCTACCATCGAATATCCACAACTAACAGCACACTCCCTCCCTCCACAGCCATCCTCACGACCCGAGTCGGACTTCACGCTGGACCTGCCACGGGCGGAGCAGCTGCGCTTGAAAATGGAAAAGGAGAAGAAGTTCCGCCAAAGATGCCGCTTCATCACCACGTTCCTCAGCCTGGTCTTCTTCCTGCTGACCGTGATGGTGGTGAGCCTAGTTTTGACCCGCGGCAAACGGATGTTCGGCAGCATGATTTGAGGCGACCCGATCAGCGACCACTTAGCACTTAGCACCTTAATTCGAGTCTGCAAAACAGGGTAACTGCAGAAAATTACAAACTACAGTGCCAACCAGAAATGTAAATCGTAAACGAAGCTCAAGTTTAGTGTTAGTGGTAGTCGTAATCCCCCCGTGGGTTTTTTTTGGCAGGGCAGGATCGCCACGGCCGCAGTCGCAGTATTGTTAATAAATTATTTATGTGATCCTAGTTGTTAAGTCCGAGTGAGTGCATTTGTTTCTGTGCGTTCTCGTATACTGCCTGTATCCAGCCTATCGTTTGTCAAACCTATTGTTAAGCCCATCAAACTGTATTAAATATATGTAAACGTATAACTAATTGTAGCTAGAGTCTTGTGAATGTGTGGAGAATAAACAGAATACCGAGTATATTTAATATAACATTTATTAATATGGAACATCGACGCATAGCGAGGTGAAAGCATCCGTACTTTTGAGATTTTTAATGCCTTCGGGTCATCAGCGGCATCCTTGTACTTATAGACATACATATATCATCGTATTCGTTATCACAAGTGGTTTTGATTTCCTTTTGATTCGTTAAACCTGAACCAACTAGTGGGAGAAATGCACAGAACTTAGAAATTAGTGGGCTAGCTTGGATATTGGCTGGCAGCTACAGCGCAAATCTACAAAGCGATAAATAGCTACGAAATAAGGCAAGATCTGCTGAGAAGTGTAGGGATGGCTGTGCGGCCAAACGGATCTTTGGCGTGTGCTTATGTTGGCTATTTCATAATATGCGAATGTTCTGGCGATTGACCTCGAACACGGTGTGGTCCTCGTCGTCGCTATTCACGTCCTCGATGGCCATGGGCAGTGGGGTCAGCTCCTGGTTGGCCCGGTCGCCCTGCACGCCGTACTTGCGCTCCGCTCGGGACAGTCGCAGCCTGCAAGGATTGGCAACAAGCAAGATTAGTCTTACATGTTTTGTAGATGGATTTAAAAACTAATAAAGATACTATATCTCTTATACGTTTAAGGTACATATGTATGTAAATACTTTAAACGTTCCCTATTGGGATATGATATATGTCGTATAACCACACTTTAACTTGATAATTAGCAGTTCATGCAAACCATTTAACATTCAATTCAGAATTTAAGTTTCCAAACCATTCAGCTCACCGGTAAACGCGCATCACGAGCAGCAAAATAGCCGTACTGGTTATGCCCACCAGGATGTAGACTACAGCTTGCCCGGGGAAGTCCATATCGGAAGACATACGGGTCTGTTCAACATGGTCCGTGGGACGAATTCCCGGAACTTCCGCAGCGGGAGCCTTGAGCTGTGGTTTCGGTGGTGCATCTGGATCAGGCGACCCCTTGCTCACGACCGTCATGGAATCCTTTGGTCCTGGCAAGGGATCTTCGGGCAACGCCTTCTTCACGGACGAGCTCTTATCTTTTTTGGCCTCCGCTTCGGCAACCGGCGCACTCTTCTCTGAAATTTCCACTGCCTTTTGGGGTGCCTGTGTGGCTGCTGCGTCACAGGATCGCTGGTGGAATAGAAGCAATAGCAGCACTGCAGCCACTAAGTAAAAGTAGCTGCAAGTCATTTCTTTTTATCCAATTCGAAATCGTTACAAAATTTAACCGGTTTTTTTTGGATAAACAATGACTTCTTAAATTTCCTGACTGTTTTTGTTTTGCTTTAGAACGCCAGAGTTGCCACAAACGGAAAAGCAACTGAGATGTAAATGTAATTATTATACCAAAAACCAAAAATATAAGATTGCTCGATCTGGTCACACTCAATGGTTTGCGTCTAGGGAAATGTACAAGATTATGGTTTTAACAGCAGCTTGTCAGAGAAAAAATGATGGTCGATGGTTGAGGAAAATCATCGATGTTCGCCAGTGTATGAAATCATCGATAGTATCGAATCGATTTAAGTTCCAGCTCTAGTTAGTAATAAACGAAAGTTAGTGATTTTCACTGAAAAGAAGTTGATTTAATTATAGTTCCAATTGCGAAATACAGCTTTTAATTTAGTATAGTTTATTTTACGCAGCGTCTGGCAACAGGTAATTTGGTCTCAGCCCTAGCAACGCCAGACGAAATGGCGACCTGTGAAAATGGCGAACAAAAGAAAGAAAAATGTGTGTGTGATCCAAGGGGAAATCAAATCACGACGTCACAGAAAAAAAACTCGGGTATACAGCTATGTTACAGGAAAATATAGAGCTAGGAGTGTTTCTCGCACACCAAATTAAATAAACTTAAGTGCAATGCGATGGTTATGTGCGCTGGTTTTTTTTTTGCATTTAATGCCTTTGTGTGAGTGAAGGCGAGGGCGACTGCGTGTGTGAGTGTGAGTGTTTATTTAACCAGGAAGTTGGGTTTTTGAACACGATCTATCGATAGGCGGGGGCGGTGGAGGGTGCTTCACTTGCCATCCGATTGGTCAATACCCTGCACTTCAAGGTATGTTCGACCATGTTGCATCGCGCATTACACCTTGAGCCCGTGTGTCTATATTCCGCAAGCCTCTCTTTTATTGCTGTGACATTGGATCATAATAGGCGACCTTCGGGTCGTCGCTTTTTACGTGGCGAGGCCTACCACATTCCCATTCAGTTTCTGTATCGTTTCGTTTCGCACGCAGATTGACATTTAAAATTCCAAAATTCGTGCACTGATTCGCCAAGATTCCGGCCACAGCTCCCAGGACGAGAGCCGCCAAACGACGCCACCTGGACAGCAGTAGCGATCCACCGTCGACCGCGCAGGATACGCCACATAGGGCAATAGCCTCCGCCAGCCCAGCCCCACTGCAGGCACAGCATCCTCCAGCGGGAGAAGGCAGAAGGCCGTTGCCACCACCCACCGCCACCGCCGTTAAAATGAACCGCTCCAGCAACGCCCAGACCACACAGAAATTGGTCAACCTGGACGACATCTGGAGCGAGCTGGTCGAGGGCATTCTGCAGGTGTTCGAGCACGAGAAGTCCCTCACCCGCAGTCAGTACATGCGGTTCTACACGCACGTCTACGACTACTGCACCAGCGTGACAGCGGCGCCCAGCGGACGGAGCAGCGGGAAGACCGGAGGAGCACAGCTGGTGGGCAAGAAGCTGTACGACCGGCTGGAGCAGTTCCTCAAGTCCTACCTGAGCGAGTTGCTCACCAAGTTCAAGGCCATTAGCGGCGAGGAGGTGCTCCTGTCGCGCTACACCAAGCAGTGGAAGTCTTACCAATTCTCCAGCACCGTGCTGGACGGTATCTGCAATTACCTGAACCGCAACTGGGTGAAGCGCGAGTGCGAGGAGGGGCAGAAGGGCATCTACAAGATCTACCGGCTGGCCCTGGTCGCCTGGAAGGGTCACCTGTTCCAGGTGCTCAACGAGCCGGTCACCAAGGCAGTGCTCAAGTCCATCGAAGAGGAGCGCCAGGGCAAGCTCATCAACCGATCGCTGGTTCGCGATGTCATCGAGTGCTACGTGGAGCTTAGCTTCAACGAGGAGGATGCTGACGCCGAGCAGCAGAAGCTGTCCGTCTACAAGGACAACTTCGAGAGCAAGTTCATCGCAGACACGTACGCCTTCTACGAGAAGGAGTCGGACGCGTTCCTGTCCACTAACACGGTGACCGAGTATCTCAAGCACGTGGAGAACAGGCTGGAGGAGGAGAAACAGCGCGTGCGCGGCCTCAGCTCGAAAAACGGACTGTCGTATCTGCACGAGACCACGGCGGAAGGGCTCAAATCCACATGCGAGCAGGTGGGATTGTCTACCATGTGTTCCTTTAAAATCCATGTACTAATAAAATCGGTATTTTTCAGGTTCTTATTGAAAAACATTTAAAAATATTCCACACCGAGTTTCAGAATCTGCTCGACGCAGATCGAAACGATGACCTGAAACGGATGTACACTTTGGTCGCCCTCTCACCCAAAAATCTGACAGACCTCAAGTCCATACTTGAGAACCACATACTCCACCAGGGCACCGAGGCCATTGCCAAGTGCTGCACCACCGACGCGGCCAACGATCCTAAGACCTACGTCCAGACCATCCTGGACGTGCACAAGAAGTACAACGCTCTCGTGCTGACGGCGTTTAACAATGACAACGGATTCGTGGCCGCCTTGGACAAGGCGTGCGGCAAGTTCATCAACTCGAACGCGGTCACGAACGTCAACACCGCTAGCAAGTCCCCCGAACTACTGGCCAAGTACTGCGACCTGTTGCTGAAGAAGTCGTCCAAGAATCCCGAGGACAAGGAACTCGAGGACAATCTGAACCAGGTGATGGTCGTGTTTAAGTACATCGAGGATAAGGATGTCTTCCAAAAATATTACTCCAAGATGCTGGCTAAGCGTCTGGTTAACCACACTTCGGCCTCGGACGACGCAGAAGCCATGATGATCTCCAAGCTGAAGCAGACGTGTGGCTACGAGTACACTGTCAAGTTGCAGCGAATGTTCCAGGACATTGGCGTCTCCAAGGACCTGAACTCCAACTTCAAGGAGTACCTGGCCAACAAGAATGTGACCATGGAAATTGACTTTGGCATCGAGGTCCTGTCCTCGGGCTCATGGCCCTTCCAGCTAAGCAACAATTTCCTGCTTCCCTCCGAGCTTGAGCGGTCTGTGCGACAGTTTAACGAGTTCTACGCAGCCCGACACTCCGGTCGCAAGCTCAACTGGCTCTATCAGATGTGCAAGGGCGAGCTGATCATGAACGTCAACCGCAATAACTCCTCCACTTACACCCTGCAGGCCAGCACCTTCCAAATGTCGGTGCTGCTCCAGTTCAACGACCAGCTCAGTTTCACGGTCCAGCAACTGCTGGACAACACCCAGACACAGCAAGAGAACTTGATTCAGGTGAGATTGGATCTTATCATGGGTTATCGTTAGCAAGCGGCTTACTAAGGGACATCTTTCAGGTATTGCAAATACTGCTCAAGGCCAAGGTGCTCACGTCCAGCGACAATGAAAACTCTCTGACACCCGAGTCGACGGTGGAGCTGTTCCTGGACTACAAGAACAAGAAACGCCGCATCAACATTAACCAGCCGCTGAAGACTGAGCTTAAAGTGGAACAGGAGACTGTACATAAGCACATAGAGGAGGACCGAAAGCTGCTGATCCAGGCGGCGATTGTTCGCATCATGAAGATGCGCAAGCGACTCAACCACACCAATCTCATTTCGGAGGTGCTTAACCAGCTGTCGACGCGTTTCAAGCCCAAGGTGCCCGTGATTAAGAAGTGCATAGACATCCTGATCGAGAAGGAGTATCTGGAGCGTATGGAGGGACACAAAGACACATATAGTTATCTCGCCTAAGTTCATGTTAAATGTAAAACGTTCGCTGTTTCATCTATGCCAGCCATTAAAATATCATCAGTATACTTAGAGATCGTGTAGACCCTCCGCGACCCCCTCCTCCCCAGCCCGAAATAAACTGCCGCGCAAACACTTGAACTGTTAGCGAGCTAAAAATACTCCATGCTTGGACTTATATGTGCAACCTCATCTCCCGCCCCCCAATCACATCACTTCAAAGGACCGGCCCGCAGCAGGGAGCAATATAGTAGCCCACTGACAGAAGGATAGTATAGAAGGATCGGCCTCTGTAGAACTAGATTCCAATTTCCGAGAGCAGCCAATGCTCTCCCGCCAAGCACCAGACTTCTGCAGGGGCTGCACGGTATACGTTTTAGCGACTTTCTTTATTACCCATTGTTTGATCAATTTTTGTTTTAACTAGTTTACGTTATTGATAACTCGCTGTATGCATATACGACTATTATACTACCTACTACAAAGCAAACAAGTTTTAAGTTCATAAAACAATGACGACAACATTTGGTGCGGTTATTATTATTCTTGAATCTGCAATTTCTCGTCCAGGTTCATTCCGCTGGCGATGGCGTAGACGGTGAAAGCGAACTTGGCCACCTGCAAGGATTCACGTGCGGAATAAGCTATGCTGCGCTTCTCTCAAGTTCACTTACGTTGATGTTGGTGGCCAGATTAATGTTGAATATATTCATCGCCGTGAACGTCATCGGCTGCTGGAGCTTCTGCAGAAACTGGAGGACGGTCCGCTGGTACCGCCGGTCCTGCATCCACCACGCGGAGTGGAACAGTGCATCCGCCAGCTCGTTGCAGTCGTCCACGATGGCGTTGCAGTAAAAGCAGAGCGGAAACGTCTGTAGAAGCACTGCCATCACGTAAATGATGATGCCAAACCGAGTGGACTGATCTGCGAACAACACCAGGTTGATCATGATGACTCCCAGAATAGATCCGCATATGATGAACTGGGCAAAAATCGTGCCAGAGATAATCGGCTGAATGGCCTCGCAGAAACTGGAGAATAACGTTTGCGAAAGGGTTTTTGTATATGTAAGTTGTATCTTAGTTTTGTTATAACAAAAAAAACGGTATAATTTATAACCTTTGTTCTCATATGTTAAAGATCACAAAATACTATACCTAAGTACATTATGCTGGTAAACGAGAACGGATGCTTACTTTGGCAACTGGCCGAAGTGTTAATACCCTTGCAGTCAAGGGATTGAACTGACGGTACAATTACAAAAATATCTCTAGGTTTTTAACTGAGCTCGCTAAAGGTATAGAGACAGACAGACGGACATGGCTATTCTATCTCGTCTAATCATGCTGATCAAAAATATGTACTTTACAGGCTATTACAAGGATATAAAAGTTACTCTTTCATCGCTTTATATGGTAGATTTTGGTGTGCGACAAATGTATTCCAAAACTAAACAATTTTTTGTTTAAGTTATATTTTTTTTATATGTATGTCAGTAAGAACCTATCATTTAAGGAAAGGCAATGTATTTTTAAATTTAAATTCCTTCAGGTATTCTTTTAATGCTATAACTTACAAGTTGTTTACATTTTATTATCAAAGTTTTCATTCAGTAGAAACATCTTACTTTTCGCGTTAACTAACGTCACTCACTTCAGCATGGTCCTGTGAGCCTTGATGCAGTCCACTAGACCACTAAACATGGAGTCCGGGTCGCTGCCAGACTCGCTGTTCGCCTCGCCCAGGTGGACGATGCGATCCTTGAGCAGCAGGATGTGGGTGCGCAGGGCTGCCACATAGATCACCGGGTAGGAGTCGGTGGCTGTGGCTACGACTATTGCGTAGCCGATGGTGAAGTACTCCAGAAAGCTCTGGACATACAGCTGGGTCCGATCCACGCGCCAGTTTACCAACGGATAGTAGGTGTTGAAGGGCACGCGCTCATGGAGAAGTCCGTCCAGCAGCGTGGAGGTGGCGTACAGCACGTAGACCACGACGAAGATCAGGTACAACCTGGTGATGGCGGCCACCATGTCACGCACCTTGCGCTTCTCCTCCGACCTCACGCAGAACTCGTCCATCTGGTCGAAGTGTTTGTTGGCCAGCTCCAGTCGGGGCATGTAGATGACCAGCGTGAAGAACTTCAGGGAGAAGCACCAGGTGTTGAGGCACAGCTGAAGCGATTGCAGCAGCAGGTCCGGCGGGAACTGCGCCAGGTGGATCGTGTAGTTGACCGGGAAACTCACGGGCAGTATCAGCAAGTTGTAGGTGAAGGAGAGGATCCTCCAGATCTTGCGACCAACGCCGAAGTCGTTCCGTACGTTCAGGCCCGAGAACCGGAGCGTTTCCAGCAGATAGGCATTGGAGTCCCTGGAACTGATGGGTTCCGATATGGGAGCTGGGTACATGAGCTTAAGGTATCCGAACATTTTTAGTTTCTACTGTCTCGGGATTAGAATTTAGAATTAACTGCAGCAAAGGACTATTGCAATGCTTTTATAGTTCGCAAATCCTCGTTCTTAATTACTGGTTGCCAATTGAAAGGGCGTTTCGCTTCTTGTTGCAAAAGAATTTCACATATGTCAAAATACATATATTGAAGCCTAAAACGTTGTTCTTGTTTGATGGTAATAATTATTGTACACTTTTTTGGGCGTAACATTGTAAAAATATCTCGGTTTTGTAGCATTTTAATTATTGTACAATACTTCCTTCGGTGGGAACGAACACTTGTTAAAAAAAAAATTAAATTTGCAGGGACAAATTTGGTCTCGCTCCATTTACAGCTGAGAAGATTCATAAATTTAGGACTCAAACTCACAAAAACACGTACTTTTAGGTACGTGTGCATTTGCTTACATATGCATGTGTGTCAGAAAAATGTGTTAAATTCTATTCACAAGTCTTCTTCGTGATGGCGTCATTCTTAGAGACTATGAAAAATACAAAAAGACTATCACTACTAGATCTTTGATTGCAGCCGCACGAAAATCTAACAAGGAGATCGAAAGACTGCCTCAGAGCAGTGTCACCAGTGGAACCCTCAATCCTCGTCGTCGAGTGTGAGTACCTTTGTCTGGAAGCGCATTCGTTTTGTGTTCTTCACCACCCCGTTGGTGAGCAGATTGACTCCGGGCTCTGGACAGGGCAGGGCGTTCCAAAGACGCTTCACGCGCACCACAGCCTCCGAGTTGAAGTCGTATCTTTTTGAAGACGCAGCTGGCTTGGGTACGGGAGCATTGGCTGGGAGTTTACGCAGCTTCACGACGGGCTGCAGCTGGCGACAGCTGTTGTAGCTGCTGACACTGGCCCTGTCATCCTCATCCTCGGTGGCATCCGCTCCTTCTCCATTGGCAGCCATCGAGCAGCCGCGCTTTTGAGGCGACGTCCCCTTGGGTTTGGCAGCACGCAGACTGAAATGTGGGGTAGCTTAGCTCAGTGAAAAAGTAATAGAGTTTAATTGTGTAAGCCATGACAATACCTCGCCTGGGTTTCATACTTATTTAAAGTAGGCGGCGCTGCTGCACATATCTTGCCCGGCTCCTCGGGGTGACAGCCAAGGTCCTGGCCCCTCAACCAGTTTTCATAGCGTTCCGGCTGGAAACGACGCACGAAGGTCTCCATCGAGATCTTGACCATGTCGCTGCGGCACCTGCAAATGCTGGCCCGCTTTCCGTACTCGATCCAGCGCTTCGACGCGAAGTTGGTGGACTCGGCGCCATTGAAGCCGTGGTTGAAACCCGCATGGTAGCCAAAGGGAAACGTGATCATGATCTCACCCGCCTCCTGGGTGATCTTGTTGTAGGGAATGTTGTGCTGGCGCAGCACCTTGGGACTGATCATGGTCATCTTGTGGCGCAGATAGGCGTTGCATTCCTGGTAGTTCTCGGCAAAGGTCTCGTTGGCCAGCTTCTCCAGGCGTCTGCCATAGGCCGGCGGAATGGCATACCAGGTCTTGGGTGCTCCGAAGTGCAGATAGTTGATGGAGTACAGGTCCATGTCTTCGGTGTGCCAGGCAAAGGAGCTCTTCCACATGCCGAAGTAGAGGTAGGCCGTGTTCACGCCGTCAATGATGATGTTGTAGTCCGTGTTGACCAGGTTCAGAATGGTGTCCAGTCTCCCGATGTTCCACACGTCCAGTTCCTCGTCGCTCAGCGATCCCTTGACATCGGCCGCGTAAAGCGGCGATATGTAGGTGATGTTCTTCCAGTACTTGCGCTCCAGATCGTCGTAGTCGAAGTGGCGCGGCGTCTGATGGAGCTCGGAGCTCGCCTTCTCCTTGAACTGGCGCAGGGTCATCTGGCGGCGCTGCTGGATGTTGATCTGCTGGTACAGCCCGTGGGCCCTGCTTTGCGAGGAAGTGACTTGGCATTGGTGAACTGGACATTAATCGAGCGGCACTTACCCCGTGACCACTTGACAGATCGGCGCCGGAATGGTCATGTTGATGTTCTCTATGTCGTAGCCCGACTTCCGGGGCACCCATTCCGCCGGCGGCTGTGGGGCATCACGAACAATTCACTTCCTATCCGATTAAGTCAAGAATAGGGGCACATACCTGGATTTTGGCCAAGCCGGCTAAGTGAGCTCCGCGGGACTCTATGTGCTCTATGTAGGCGGAAAAGTCCTTGAACTCCTCGTAGCTGGGACGGAAGGTCATGATGCGGGGCACTTTGGTTTGCTCTTCATCGCCAAAAGAGGATCTCGTGGACATTTTGGAGGTTCAAACAATAAACCTAAGCAATTGACATTAATCCCCTGCACAAAGTGTGACCAAGGTTCTCTAAAATTGTACTCTTACTTCGGCAAACGCCAAAATACCAAGTTCCGTTATAAAATATTAATTTCAATTTCGAAAACACTGAAAATAATAGGCTCCGTTTCCTTACAGAAAAAAATAAAAGAAATACAAAATAAAATTATAACTTGTTATACTACATAATGACTACTATTAAAATTATTTTAGCTCTTTATCTATTAAGCCCTATTTATCAACTAAGAACCACTTGAAATATAAACGCCTTTTTTTATTTTTTTCAGGTAAACTAGCAGTTTTTTCCAAAAGTAGTAAGACCTGCGTTTTCTAGCTAAATTGTTTTAAAATTAACGAGAACGGAACCTAAATTCGGTAAGCCGAGGTTAAAATACCCTTGAAGTCATACCGAAAATTGAAGACAGAGTACACTGCGCTAATATATAAATATATGCGATTACTGCTATAGGATATAGTCAACTAAACAGATATATCCGAAATGACATTAGGTGAAAAACACAAAATGAAGCACATTTTTCCGGTTGTTCTTTTTGCGAATGCATCTGTTTTTGTCCAATATGATGGTATTATTATACGCAATTTTTATGAATTTATGGGTATGAATTATAAGGTAATTTTCGAATCTGGTTCTAACGAGTACCTACTTACAGCCGTGTTTAAAATTCTATCGTTGACTGCTGGTTCTGGCAATACTAGTTAAACAAAACACGAAACATTAAAATTCGATTACAAGAAAACCATGGCCTACCGTAACGTAAATGTAAATGTAAATTTTTAAAAGTTGTCTTTTAATTTTCGGACCATCTCCGACATTAGCGTACTACCGACCTTACAGATAGTCATCCTATGTATCTACTACCTGCAAAAGAAATAAGAATGCTGGTAAAATTTTATTCTGATAAAGTTGGAAACTATGTGACTAGCTTGCACAGAACGGACAGACGGCTAAAGGGTATTAATGTTGATCAAGAATTTATGAACTTTTGACTTTAAAGTTAATATCCTCGGTAAGGGTATATTCAAAATACATATTGAAAACTGAAGCGTTCGTGAAAGATCTAAATAAATGAAGGTTGCAATCTAATCTATTTTCTAATGTATTACCCCACACTTTCTCCTTATGCAATACTGGTTAACACGATTAAATCCTTCAAGGTTGACACATCGCCTATAGTGTATTAAGTCTTTCCCCAGAACTCACTTGGTGGATGCCTCTAATCGGGTGCCATAAAACAATTAGACCTGGATAGTCAACTGCTCGTGCCGGTACAATTGTAGGAAAAAGTGCACAAAACAAGAGATTACCCTTGACTCATAGGCTTAAAAAGAGCTTTCAACTTCACGCCATCAACTCTTAAGAGCTGAAGAAAATCTATACCTATTATTAAGGGGCAGGAGCCTATCGCGATAATGGTTCAATTGTTTACTGCCCCAGCGTCGAGTTAAAGTAAATCAAAGCCAAGGCATAATATAATTTGCATTGGATTGGACACTACGAGTGCCGAGATCTCTGGTAGGGGTTTATGGTTTTATGATTACTGCCGCGATAATGTCGGACGATCTGCGTTGCCTCGCGGGCACTTGAGAACTGGAGGCCCCTGCTATCAGGGTAATGGGTTCTTGTGGTATCAGTATAAAAGCAAAAGGTGTACCAATCGCTCCGCAGTTGTCCAACGTTTCCACTCCCAGGCACTACGGCCAATTTTCAGTCCGACGTGTAATAATAAATATATCCGCGAAAGTCATGGGATTTGACACATCTGAGGATAAGACAAGACGTAAGATACCGATCGGATATTCTGAACATTGAGTTGCGGTTCGAGGTGCCCCAAAAATAATGTTGGTTTCGGACATTTCAAGGTCTAAAAGCGAGTTATTTCATTGATATTGTAAGAACATAATAAACCGATTAAGAGTCACCTTCTAAGTCGGAAAATGCTTTATCAAATACGTTCAGTGAACATAATTTTTAGAAATACATTTTGTTTAGGTCGATTAGATCAAAAGCTAATCGTTTCTGATAACATGACTTGGCTAAAAAAAAATTGTGACAATTTGACAAAAGATTCAATGCAGACTAATGTAGAGACTAGCCGTTTTGTGAATCTGTAATAAGAAAATCTTAGAAACCTTATTCGTCAAATTTGGGTGAGTTTTTTTGACGAAACAGTTAAAATGTGTTCTTTTAAACCAATGGCACATGATGAGGATGAATTTAAAGAAAATTGTGTAAAATTGGAGAACTATGAAATAATAAGGCAGCAATTACTCTAGAGCGTCTAGGAAAAATTTAAAATGAGGTGTCCATCATAGCTTCTTACTGGAGCATTCAAAACCAATATTACATTGTTACATAGTCGCTTTGCCCAAGTAAACTTTAATTTAAAGTTAATTAATTACCTCGTAGCAAATGTACAGAAATTGTGTTCAAATGTTATGATGGGCACCGACCCTAAAAATGTGAGTTGTGGGAATAACGCTTTAAAGTTTAGAACATTAGTACACTGGTCCTAGGGAACAGTTATAAAAATAGCCTTCGTCGATTTTATAACGATCGACTTGAAATTTAGACACAACCTACTTGAGAGTATGATGCACTCAATATCTTTACATTAATCGAAAAACAGTAATTCGTATATAATATACAAACACAAGTAATTAATAGGAAGTAAACGCTGTAATCATAACAGTATGTTTTAACACTCTTTGTGTTTGTAGTGTATATCATGATGCAACTTTATAAGGTGATCTCATAAGCTTTGCCGAGGACGAGACATTCTTAAGAGACAAGCGATAGAAAGAGATATACATAACAATCGTTTTACAACACACGCATACGACTGGCAAAAATTACATCCTGAGAAGAGAGCAGCTCCTGTTTTGAGATCACTTTATACCGTTGCACCTTGGTATATATACATACATACATAATTAGGTATTGCGGACATCTTAATGAATTCGCTCCGACTATCGCTCTCTTTCTGTTCTATAACTGCACTTTACGACTCTTTAGACCTACCCTAAGAGAGAGTCCCATTGGAATTCCAGTCGTCTGGGTATATTTATTTACAAACCATATCTTGATCGTGTATCAGACATCAAGCCTTTATTAAGATCAACAAGAGATTATTCCACTTGCCATAAAGAAAATATTTATTATCTTTTCGTTGTTAAGCAACCTTAACAAGAAGATCTGCTAGTTAACGAATTTCGGGGAACTTAATCATCGAATTCATAGGAGGCAATTAAAATATACGACTCCATTTACACATTCTGCCCCCGCGAAATCTACTCCACTGTCGCCAGTGTCGCAACTTTTCCATTGAGAGTGGGGCGGCTTTTGTTTTCCTCATTGGCGGGCGCGTTAATGATAATGACAATATTATTATAATAAAACCAAAAGAGCTCTGTCGGAACCGTAATTAATGGAATCGTTACTATCAGAGCATTGTTAAACAGCAATAAAACGAAAAAGGTCCTAGAAATAATCAAGCAAACTGACAAACAATTCGCACCGTCTGCTTATAATGGGACAATCAATAAATCGCATAGTCAGACGCCTGTTAAATCTATAACTGAGTAAACATGGTTTATAGTTCCAATGGAGAGAGAAGGCCCCTGCTAATCCACGTAGTTCCAAGACCGCTCAGGAAACTAGGCTGTATATTAATAGTAAATGAAAAAATATCTTCCATCACTAATGGGGTTGTTTCATCTTTTCAGCCAGAGGATTGGGCGTCCGCCACTGGCAAGCCGTTCTCCTGTTCGTCGGCATGATGATCAACTACTTCCAGCGGGTCAACATCTCGGCTGCCATTGTTCCCATGACCCAGTCCACCGCAGGCGCTCCTTTCTACAATTGGGACACGTCGGACAAGTCCTTGATCCTCAGCAGCTTCTTCTGGGGCTATGTGGTGTCCCAGGTGCCAGCAGGTGAGCAGCTAAATTGGCCAAAATGTGTCATTCTCAAGCTTTGCTGTTTGAAGGTCTCCTGGCCAGGCGATTTGGCGCCAAGGTAGTCCTGGGCTCTGCCACGGCGATTGGCGGCCTCCTGTGCTTCTTTCATCCCATGGCAGCCAGCAGTGGCTGGGAGAGTATCTGTGCCCTGCGAGTCCTCACCGGACTAGTCCAGGGCACGGTTTATCCTTGTGTCCACACCCTCCTGGCCAAGTGGGTGCCGCGCACGGAGCGAGGACTGCTCACCACTGGCGTCTATTCGGGTGCCCAGTTCGGCACGGCTGTTATCCTGGCCACCAGTGGCCTTATCTTCGAGTCCAACATGGGCTGGCCGGGACTATTCTACCTATCCGGCGGTCTGAGCCTGGCCTGGGCCCTGCTCTTCTTTTGGCAGGCGGCCAATGAACCCGCAACGGCCGGAAGGATCAGCAAGAGCGAAAGGGAATACATCGAGAGCCTTACGGGCAGCAACAGTGCGAGTCAGGTGAGTCCGGATTCGATAGTTACAAAAGGGATTGATTGCTCCAACGCCTCACTCCTTTCCTTTCAGTCCGTGGCCGTGCCCTGGATGTCAATCTTCAAGTCTCCAGCCTTCTATGGTCTGCTGGCAGCCCATTGTGGATTCACCTGGGGCTTCTACACGCTGCTCACGGAAATGCCCACGTACTTGAGCAGTGTCCTGCAGCTTAACGTCAAATCCAATGCTTTCCTCTCCTCTCTGCCGTACTTCGCCATGGGCCTGCTCTGCATCGTGGTCAGTCCCATATCGGATTTGCTCATCAACCGAGGCACTATATCGATCACCACGGCCCGCAAGCTCTTCAACTCCATAGGACAGTGGGGACCGATGGTCTGTTTGATCGGATTGGGATACATGACGGCCGGCGAGAAGACGTGGGCCATCCTTCTCCTAACACTGGCGGTGGGCATCAACGCGGGCTGCTCTTGCGGCTACCTGATCAACCACATCGATCTGTCGCCCAACTTTGCCGGACCCATGATGGGAGTCACCAATGGGATTGCGGGAGTGACCTCCATAGTGGCTCCCTTAGTGGTTGGAGCGATCATATCGAATGAGGAGGATCCCAGCCAGTGGCGAGTGGTGTTCTTTATCACGGGCGGCATTTACCTGGTGTGCAACACTCTCTTCGTGATCTTTGGCAAGGCCACTGTTCAGCCGTGGAACGATCCGCCGTCCACGTCCAGCACGGTGACGCTGCGCAACCACCTGGAAAGTGATTCAAAGTCCATCGCTCCCACGTCGGACAATGACAATCGGTTTTAAAGCTTGGCCTGCACCAGGACCCCATTGAAAATCTCGTTAACTGAAGTAATTATAAGTTATTGTTATTATGGCCTGGCGTCTGTGCCAGCGATTTTTGGATATGCCTAGCTCTAACTAAGATATTGGTTTATGTTTACGTTTACACTATGGGAAGCTTAACATGACTTAGTTTTGTGATAAGCCCTAAAAAGACTTTACGATGTGTAGCACGTTTCTAGGGTTATTAAGTCGTTTTAAGTATGTCTATAAGTAAATTGTCTATGCGCACAGCATACTAATAAATATTTACAGCCCTGTGTAATCGTCGGAGTGTGTTGTCTTGGTTAATCAATATCAACCATTGTTGTCCTGGAATCGCACCGACTTCGTCGCCTGTTACTTGACCTTTTGCTGCAGCAGTCGCTGCTCGTTGAGGCGCTGATTGATGCGGCGTGTGTTGGCCATCGAGCGGATGATGGTCCACAGGGCCAGGGACCAGCCGAGCAGGATGGTGCCGCACAGCACCGGGCCGTAGGCGTTCGCCTGGCCAACGGGAATCTCGGCGCGCAGCGGCGCCTTCAGCTGGCACTCCACGTGCACCCGCCTCCAGTTGCAGCGCTCCAGATGCGCCATGGTCGTCGGCTGGCCCTCCTTGACGACGTTCTCGTCGAAGCGGCTTTCCGCCGTGTTCAGGCAGTAGAGCTTATCGGGCCGGGCCACCAGCTCGTTCTCGACGAGCTCACTATCAGCAGTCGGACAGTTGAGATAGAGCTCCGGCAGTGGTATGGCCACCGTGGCCGCCGACCTGTGGGGCTTACTGGTTATTCTAGTGTGCAAAACATTTCAACATTCAAGGTCAGCCCACCGCTTATCGCTGGGTGCATGGTAGCGAAAATGCACGGGCAGCCCCAGCGCCTCCGTAATCTTGGGTGTGCCGCGTAGCAGGACGGAGAACGGCTGCGCCCGTTCCGTGGCCACTTCAATGTTGACAAACTTCGGATAGACGGCACTCAACTGGGATCAAAAGAGGTAATTGTGGTAAGTCCCTGGCGCCTAATTCTGGCGATAACGCACCCTCTTCAGACGCTGCAGGTCGTCCAGTTCGTCCGTGCTTATGTAAACGGATGCGGGCAGTGCCTGGAGCAGCACGTACTCGCAGTCCTTGCCGACCAGGGGATAATCGAACCGCAGGCGGTACGTGAGGGTCCTGCAAAGGCACGATTCACTTAAGCCCAACACATTTCATGGGTAATCTCCGAGGCAAAAACCTGTGCATGCCGGCTTTGTCCATTTCCACTTGAACAATGGGTGACTCCACTACATAGCAGTTGCGTGTGCCTCCCATTATAACCAAAACTAGGAAAAACAATAAACACTTGAAGTTCTTCATGGACATCGTTTTAAAGCTAATTAAACCGAAAAACTGACAAAGTAAAATTGTAAATAAAAACATTGGCTTTGGCGTTGTCCATACACTTCAATTTATTTAGCGTTGCCACTCTGTCTATAATCTGTTAAATTCAAAAAATGGTTATCAGTAATTTCTTTCCTTATACAAGGCGGACCCTTGTCGCGCCAATTTGTCCGCCATTTCGTTGCCCTCTATGCCCTTGTGAGCCTCCACGTAGTTCTGAGGATATAAAACGAAGAAATACAAATAGTAGGGAGGCACTTGCATAAAATTACCCACCCATTTCACTGCTATATTATTGTTGTGAAGCAGCTCATCCAACTCCTTGAAGTCAACAACGTTTTTCACAGGCTGATTGTTCTTCAGCTTCCAATCTCTTCTCTTCCAGCTTTCCACCCACAGCGTTATGGAGTTGATCAGGAACTGTGAATCTGTGTTGATGGACAGTTTTTGTATTCCCAGATCCAGAGCTGTTTTGATGGCATGTATGGCCGCCTGAATTTCTCCTACGTTGTTGGTAACGCGACCTTCCACCGGCTTGGCAGCATTTCTTAAACAAATTCGGACATTCTAACTAAAGTTGTATAGCGATTTCACCCACTTACAGCTGGTGATTCTTGCCGAAATAGACTCCGTAGCCGGCACAGGCTCCTGGTCGCCCATTACCTATGCAGGAGCCATCAGTGTACACAATTACATAGCCTTCCGCATCGATTTCGAACTGAAAGGCACCCACTTGCTTCAGTCCTGTGGCTTCGGATACCTGGGATGCATGTCTTGGTATTTTGTTTCTAGTATCGGCTGTGCCTCCTTCCGTCCCCTTTCTCTTGCGACTGTGGATGCCTGCCTGAAAACGGGTATGTTAAATCTTCCCATTGGGATTTTTTTTTCACCTTCTACCAGACTGCCACTACCAGATGGCTTGGGATCTCCTTCCACTTCGTTCATGGCAGCGTTCTAAAAAGAGGAGGTCAGAAATGGCAGACTTCACTTATTTTTTACTGCTCACCAGCTCGTCCTCTACCAGGTCTTCATCCTCATCGGGCCAGGCCTCTGTGTACTTGGGCTTCTCGATCTGCCCCACCTTGTCCTTCCAACTGGCCGGAGTAGCATGTTTCTGGCCCAGAGGCACCGCCACGTCCTGTGGAGCATACGATTTGCAGCCATTGACGAATTTCTCCGCCTCTTGGCGCGTGCCGAACTTCTTGTACTTGGCGTTCTTAAAGCCCTTGACCTGCTCCTCGCACTCCGCCCACGTGGCGTAGACTCCGGCCTTCCGACCACTGGCTACGGCGTAGAAGGCCATAGTGCATCGTTGCAGGCTCAGGGAACAAAAGCGGGGAAGTAGCATACTGAAATGGCGTCTCGTCTCAAAACATATGTTGCAAGGCCTTGCCAGATGGGCGAATGTAAACAAACCCACAGAGTTGCCAAATCAGGAAAGTCGCGGTGAAAAAGTGTGGATGGAAAAAAGTGCATTTGCCGGTTTTAAAAGAATTTTTGCTTAGAAAAAAAAAAACGAAATGTACCAGCCGCCTTTGCCACCGCCGCCACCTGTCCAGCCCCCTCCTCCGCCTCCACCACCGCCCCCAGAATCGGAAGAAGCAATCTCTCCGCCGGGAGTAAGTGCTTCCTCACACACCCACTCGAAAATTGACACCCTGCCCCAAAACACCAACCCCTTGGATTACGTGTATCAAGAGACATCAGGACTCCACCCGAACCCCGTCCCCAGCTATGATCCCTACCAGCAGCAGTCGGCCTACGCCTACGAGGGCTATGCGTACCAGGACCCAGCACAGAAGTACTTTTCCCAGGAGCCCGCTTACCAATACCAGGCGCCAGGAACATCCTACCCGTACGAGGGCTACAAATACCCGGACCGATATCCCGCCTACGCGGCTAACTACAGGCCACCCGCCGAAAGGGAGAGATACGACTCCTACGGCTCCAGTCAAGGCTACCACCACCATGCAGGCTATGGCTCGGGAAAGCGATACCAACACCAGCAGCGACATGGTCTGGAACACCGACATCCCCAGGAGCCCCGGTATACCCACGAGTCCCGACATGGACATGGCCACTATGCCCACAGGCCGCCAAAGGGATTGCAGGGCTACCGCGGATCTGCAGCCAGGAGCACAGCCACGGAGGACTACACTCCACGCAGCTATCGCGAGAGGGAGCGAAGTGAGTCAGCGGAGAAGCCCAGGTCCAAACCCAAGGTGGAGACCGAAAGAGACCGTCTTCTGCGGCAGTGGTGTGCCAACTTCTGCGAGAAACCGGAGGACTATGTGAAGAAGATGAACGCCCTCAGCGAGGCAGACGCGCCCACTGAGTCCTGGGTTCGATCCTCTCCAGCTGAACTCTACTACGAGCGCACCAAGACCGATAACGAGGTCAAAGGCCGGGTGCGGCTGCAGAAGCTATGCAACCTATTCGACGAGGAGCTGCTGCAAAGGGCGGAGCGAGTGCGTCAGAAGCTCCCCGTTTACGTGCCGCCGCCCCGAAAGGCGCGTCGTCGCGTCTGCAAGCACAAGCACAAATCAGAAGCCTGTTCCTCGTCATCCTCTTCCGACGAGGACTCAGACGAGGACGCCTTCAAGATCGAGCAGGACTGCTCCATGGAGGAGCTGTCGCACAAGGTGCAGCATCCGCAGCGGGTTCACGCAGATCTCTGGCACAACGACGCCGGCGAGATGAACGACGGTCCTCTGTGCCGCTGCTCGGCCAAATCCCGGCGCATTGGCATCCGTCATGGCATCTACCCGGGCGAGACTGGCTACCCTAAGTGCGACCCCAACAGCAACAATGCGGGCAAGCTGTTTCACTACAGGATCAGCATCTCGCCGCCCACAAACTTCCTGACCAAGACACCGACCATTATCAAGCATGACGAGCACGAGTTTCTCTTTGAGGGCTTCTCGCTTCTCTCGCATGTGCGTCTCACTGATCTGCCCGTGTGCAAAGTCATCCGTTTCAACATTGAGTACACCATTGAGTACGAGGAGGAGAAGATGCCTGAGAACTTTACCATCCACGAGCTGGATCTGTTCTGTAAGTAAAACGAGATGAGACTCCATACTGCTTATACTGTATATTGTTCCTGGTTTCAGTCAAATACCTTTTCCATGAGCTGCTTGAGCTAGTGGACTTTAATCTGACGCCAAACGTGGCCTCCGGCAGCGCCGAGAAGTCCTGCCCAGCATTCCACTTCCTCCCTCGCTTCGTCCGTGACCTTCCAGACAATGGAAAGGAGGTTCTGGCAATGGTCGAGGTACTCCGCTACCTGCTCGACAACTCCGCCCAACTGGTCGAGCGTCAGCAGCTTCTGCACCTGAACCAGATCAGCCAGAGTGAGTGGCAGAACTATGTGGACTTCATTAAGGGCATGCTGGTCACAAAGCCGGGCTATAAGCCGTGCTCGCTGCGCGTCGATCAATTGGACAGGAATAACTCCGATCTGCCGGAGTGCGTGGATCGCGAGACTGGCATCTCACATCCGGCAATCGTACACTTTGGTATCCGTCCGCCGCAGCTTAGCTACGCGGGGAATCCGGAGTATCAGAAGGCGTGGCGGGAGTACGTCAAATTCCGCCATTTGATGGCCAACATGTCGAAGCCATCATTCAAGGACAAGCGCAAGCTGGAAGAGAAGGAACAGCGTCTGCAGGAGATGCGCACGCAAGGGCGCATGAAGCGCAACATCACTGTGGCCATCAGCTCGGAGGGATTCTACCGCACGGGCATCATGTGCGATGTGGTGCAGCACGCCATGCTGGTGCCCGTTCTGACGGGTCACCTGCGGTTCCACAAGTCGCTGGACCTGCTGGAGGAGAGCATTGGGTATAGTTTCAAGAATCGGTACCTGCTGCAGTTGGCGCTGACCCATCCCTCGTACAAGGAGAACTACGGCACAAATCCGGATCATGCCCGCAACTCACTGACCAACTGCGGAATTCGACAGCCAGAATATGGCGATCGGAAGATCCACTATATGAACACCCGCAAACGGGGAATCAACACGTTGGTCAGCATTATGTCGCGATTTGGCAAGGACCATGAAACTGTTTCGAATATAACGCACAACGAACGGCTGGAGTTTCTCGGCGATGCTGTGGTGGAGTTCCTCAGCTCGATCCACCTGTTCTTCATGTTTCCGGAGCTGGAGGAGGGTGGTTTGGCCACCTACCGGGCGGCCATCGTCCAAAACCAGCACTTGGCCCTGCTGGCCAAGAAGTTGCAGCTGGAGGAGTTCATGTTGTACGCCCACGGATCCGATTTGTGCCACGAGCTGGAGCTGCGCCATGCCATGGCCAATTGCTTCGAAGCCCTGATGGGCGCCCTTTTGCTGGACGGAGGAATTAAGGTGGCGGATGAGGTGTTCACGGATGCGCTCTTTCGGCAGGACGACAAGCTGCTGAACATCTGGAAGAATCTGCAGGAGCACCCGTTGCAGGAACAAGAGCCACTGGGTGACCGCAGCTGCATTGATTCCTATCGGGTGCTCAAGGAGCTGACCAAGTTCGAGGACTCCATCGGAATCAAGTTTAAGCACATTCGTCTCTTGGCCCGCGCGTTCACCGATCGTTCCATTGGCTTCACACACTTGACGCTCGGCTCCAATCAGCGCCTCGAATTTCTGGGCGACACTGTGCTGCAGCTAATCTGCTCGGAGTATCTATATCGCCACTTTCCCGAGCACCACGAAGGCCATTTGTCCCTGCTACGTTCCTCGTTGGTTAACAATCGCACACAGGCGGTGGTCTGCGATGATTTGGGGATGCCCAAGTATGCGGTATATGCAAACCCCAAAGCGGATCTGAAGACGAAGGATCGTGCCGATTTGCTCGAGGCTTTCCTGGGCGCCTTGTACGTCGACAAGGGTTTGTTGTACTGCGAGCAGTTCTGCCACGTCTGTTTGTTCCCGCGCCTTCAGCTGTTCATCATGAATCAAGACTGGAACGATCCCAAGTCCAAGTTGCAGCAGTGCTGCCTCACCCTGCGTACAATGGATGGCGGTGAGCCGGACATTCCCTACTACAAGGTGGTTGAGGCCAGCGGTCCCACCAACACGCGGGTATACAAGGTTGCCGTTTACTTCCGGTCAAAGCGGCTGGCCACCTCCAGCGGCTCCTCCATCCAGCAGGCGGAGATGAATGCGGCCAAACAGGCGCTAGAAAACTCGAGGGACCTCTTTCCCCAGCTGGACCACCAGAAGCGCGTAATTGCCAAGAGCATCAAAAAGCAGACGGGCAACGAGTTGGACAACGAGAGTGATCGTCAGCCGCAGGAGGAGAAGGCTAAACGGCCCAAGTACGCGCCACCACTGCAGGATGAGAGTCACCTTCCCAAGCAGTATCGCATGCATGAAAACATCTCAAGCGACGAGTTGCCGGAAGATGATGAGTTTGAAAGTAGTGCTCCGAAGAGCCCAACAAGTAAGTAAACAGATTGCCCAGTAAAAACATAACATAACTATTTTTATTTTCAGTGCCCCCAAAACTGGATAGGAGTGGCAACAGCAGCAGCAGTAGCAGCAGCGATGACTCCAGCTCGTCTCCCAAACGGAAACGCCGTGTGAGAAAGAGTTCCTCGATACACTCCCCAACTTCATTGGAATAGCCATTCAGAATTTCAACATAAATGTTTACAGAAAGAAGAGCACCGATTTCACTAAAAAGAATCGTAGGGACGGAATTTAAACTATTTTGCCCTTTTTAAAACAGATACCAAAAGACACATCGCTCATTTAGAATAAGTGTAAAGCATGACACAATTTATGCTTTAATGGTCATAACATTTTCGTTAAAACCTTTGTTATCATAGCATTAAGTACCGCTAAATAAAACTAAAAAAAAATCATACTTACCAAATTTAATTTAATTTAATTTAAATATGTTTATGTAACCCTTTTTCATAGGCGAATTGGTGGACCAAAAGTGAGATGTCTAAGAAACCTTTTTCAAGTTTACCATAAACACGTGAAAAGGTACAACGAGTTTAATGTTCTATTCCATTACAGTTTCTTTGATAAAGTCTGAAGAATATTCCGTCCCTACGAACTTTTTACATAGTAAAAAGCAAATTCAATATTTGGTTTTATAGAATAATCTGTTTTCTGTTACAAACTTACGTTTTAACCATAAACAGCTAAGGCTGGATTCAAAAGGAAAAACTTTTTGGACCAAGTTTCAATCTGCAGATCGCTGCTGAATTGTAAAAAAAATTGTTCCATTTCTAAAGCTAATAGCTCAAGTACTACACTTTTAAAAAAATTCGCGAACCATTTTTCCTTTTTATTATGACTTTTTTAAATTTAAGAAAATATAGTAGTATTTTATACCCAAAAATTATGCTTTTAATGCTTTAAGAAATCTAATTAATTATCGTTTTTGATTCTCTTTAAACCGAAACTTAAAGCATACAGAGGACTGTATGTTTAAAAAAAATTAAAATTCATTCAATTTATATTTTGGAGTGTCTTTCGTCAAACTTTTCTCAAATTTTTAAAGGGGCAGAATGGTTTACAACTTTAAAAAAATTTGTATTTTATAATTTTTAACATAAAAGAACAACATCTCAATAATATTCTGTGCGTTACGTAACTCGAAAAGAAATGTTCCGGTCTAAATAAAATTTTGCACACATCCTTTATACAGTAAATACTAGCGGATTAACGAAAGTTTAAATTAAAAAACATTTTGTAATATTTTTACAGGCAATAACAGGCTGATTTTTATGGAAAAATGGTTCCTCCGACTTTAAAACCGTGTCAAAAACTTGAATTCTTATACTCACCCAGAAATGAGAAAAAAAAATCGCAAAAATCAGTTTTTTCAGCCTCGGAAACACGAGGCTTTCAATGAGAGAGACATTATCAAATTAAGTTGGAAATGTCCACAAGTTATCGAACATAAATCGCATTATTCAAATAAGCTAAATAGACTTTCAATTTACTTACAAAAAATAATAGTTTTTATCAGAGCACCCGGTATAGAATTCAACCACAAGAGCAGCCAAAAAAAAGATGCTCAGTAAAATATCCGAATCGAATTTTGGTAAATATTTTAGCCAATTTAAACTTAACACGATTGTGAATTACGAATCAAACAAAGCGAAACGATCTCTCAGATCTTGTGGTCTCACATCCAGCGCTATTTGAACAGGGAAAGCCGGCGGCCCAGGCCAGAACGTCCCGAACCGCTCAGCGCATTGGTGATGTAGCTCATCTCAGGAAGATTGTGGATGTCCCCGCGGGCGGCCACCGAGGGCGGGGAACTGAGAAGGCGCTGGGCGACGCGCTGGATGTCGGCGGCAGTGACACTCTCTGCAACAATATTAAGGCATTAATTGATAAGTTCATAACAAGCGCATACCATTGATCTCACCAATTTCCTTGATAAAATGCTTAGGTCGTTTACGATGCCCCGTTACCAGCACTTGGCGGCCCACATCCTCGAAAACAACAGGTCGCGACTCCAAGTTCATCAGCAACATGGACTGTAGCTGGATCTTGGAGCGCATCAGCTCCTCCCTTCCCGGCTCTGCCGCCATGCCCATCATCTCTCGGGTGAGCACCTCGACCATGTCGTTCATGTGCTGCGGCGGTGCACTGCCATGGATGCAGAACAGTCCAGTGTCGGCGTAAGCATGGTTGTACGCCGTGGCACTGTACATCCAGTGGTAGCGGTTCAGCACCTTGGTATACAGACGCGAATACATGCCCTTGCCGGGACCGCCGGCGGAGAAGGAGCCACCACCGCCCATCATGATGTTCAGGACGCACAGTGGCACGAAGTCCTTGTCCTGGTGGGAGCAGCCTTCGAAGCCAAGGACCACGTGGGCCAGTTCAGGCAGACCAGCAGCCGCGTAGATGGGGATTTCGCATTGTTCCTAAGGGTACTGGTTTTTAAGGATTTAGACTTAAATTTCCAGAACTGACCTTAACTAAGCCACCAGTGTATTGTGCAATAGACGTATCCACTTGCTTGGGTCCCAAATCGTCCAGTTCTTCCGTCTCCCAGATGGCTTTGTCCTCCACGAAGTACATTTTCACATAGTTAACCAGTTCATCGTGATCCACCTAGAATTAACTTTTCTAACGAAATTGCAATATAAAATTTCTTCTATAGACTTACGCCAACACCAGCGATTACCATCCGGGTGGGAGAGTGGTGGTACTTGAGGTAGTTCATCAGCACCTTCCGGTCGATGTGGTCCAGGTTCTCCAACGGACACAGCTTAGGCAGGCCTAAGGTGTTGTCCCTGTAAGCCGCCGAATGGATCATGTCCATCAGAATGGGCTCCTGCTCCGGTCGCATGCCCAGCGTCTCCAGCTCAAAGTTGACGGCACGCCTGGCCAGGCTCACCTCCAGATCGCTGAGTGTGGGCCTAAGGGTGACGTCTGCCAGCAGACGCGTCACGGAGTCGATGGCCCGACTGTCGATGCTTGCGGCATAGATTAGCGTGTCCCGCGAGCTCTGGCAGTCGCAGATGCCGCCGTTCTTCTCCAGCTCTTTAAGTATGGCGTCCTTGTTGGGGAAGTTGACTGTGGACTTTGGAACAACGAGGCAGTTAGCAGGGATCTTACATCACAGCAGCCAAACTCACATTGAACGCCAGCTTTTCAAGGAAGTGCGAAACGCCGCTGGGGTAGGCCACCTCGTAGCGCGGGCCGGAGTCGATCACCAGACCCACGGTGCAGAATTGACCGTACCGGGGCTCAGAGGCAATACGCAAACCGTTTGGCAGCTTTGTCACCTTGGTGATGGCACTCTCCGCCAGCGGAGCCGCGTAAACTGCCTCCGGCAGGTTGGGCAATGGCTCGGTGAGGGGCGGCAGGTGGGTTACGATTTCCTTGGACGGCGTGTTCACCTTTTGGGGCCCATCGCTGGTGCGCACGCCGCCGGTGATCTGGCCGATTCCGGTGCCACTGCCTACCTCGTCGCCGCCCAACGTAGTGACCTTGGTGGCCAAACGGCGGGGAAACCTGTGTTACGGTAAGGGGGGAAGGGGGCAATTAGTTCTCGCCGGCTCCAAGACCACCCCATCTTTCACCACCCCTCGAGATTCTTACGTGCGCCATGAGTGTCTGAGCATTTTCAGCATGCCGATGCTGCGCGCGTTCATCATGTGCTGGTGATTTGGCTTTGGTAACGGTTTTTACAAATTTATGTGATTTATATTTGAATTTGATTCAGAAACATATTTTTTTGTTCTTTTTAACGAGTGATTTTCAAAGAAAAAAAGAAATGTTGATCTCTTCTTCTTCTGCTCTTGACTTATGTGTCAGTCACACGGAAAGCCAGGGGTGCAAAGGTGCCAGTGGTGCCAGTGTTGCCAGCCCGCCTGCGGTTTCATTTTCCGTTACAATAATAAGTCACTTCATTTATGGTTTCAAAATGGATTTTATTTGTGAAGCACACAGAATTAATGTGCAAGACTAATCAAAATTGAAACGCCTCTTGCCGTCGAAACGATAGCCATACGCCGCTGCATTTTTAGTGTCCACTAGTGCTGGATTGCGGTGCTTGAAAAAGCTACCGTGACCATGGGCGGGACGCGAGGCGCTATTGGGGATACCCTCTACTTCCCGAGGGTAAAAGGCCTCGAACATCCCCTCCGGCGGCAAGCAGCATTCGGCTATCTTGGAGTCATTGGGGTCATAGGCCGCCGCAGTTTCAGGTCCAAAAAATGCAGTCAATAGGACCACAAACAGTGCCTTGAGCAGTTTCGTAATTACACTCATTACCTTACAATTACACACAAGCGCCTACAAATTACTTTTACTTTTGCTGGCCGAACCCGTTTGAGACCGACTTTACGAGTTTAAGGCTTTTGTGAACTGAAGTGATTTTGACCGTAACGTTGGCTGATATATACATTTGTAGTTTTGGAATCAGCGAAAACGAAAATCAGCTGCTTTAGCGCGGAAACTCTGGCAGCACTTATTAAAAAAAAGACCGGCATCTCGGTTTCCATTCCTCCAGTTTGATATTGTGTTCATTTTGATCCCTGGGAAGCTTTAGGTCGGCCAGATTTCTTTCAGTTATCCCAAAAAAAAATTCCAAACTTATTTGAGATGGATCCTCCTAAAGAAAATACAAGCATCCTAGATAAAGCTGCATTGTACGGTAAGTTCGTGGGAATTTTTTATAAATCTTTCCAGTGGAATTGATAAGAATTCTAAGTAACACTTAAACACACAATCTGTACTCCAGATTGATATTTCGCGTTTGTATTTATAATGGTAATTTTGTTCTTTGGCGATAATTTATATACAGCGGCGACAGCAAAAATAGCATTTTTCTGTTGGCACTTTTTCGTTTTACTATATGGCATATATATAAGTATATATAAAAGACAAAACTCAAAGTTAAACTTAAAATAAAATTGTTTGCTTTCACATTAATTTAGGGCAATGCAAAATCGACCATAATAAAAGGCTTGGCTAAGTGTTTTTCATATATTTTTTCGAATGTTCCTTTTGGAGTTATATGATAGTCGACCGATTTTAATAAAACTTAAACATTAATTCTGAAATATTTAACCTTTACTATATGTGAATGGAAATTAAGAAACAGCAAAGTTATCATTTATTTTTTTTTATTATTTTTCTTTATTTTTATGATTAAGCTATATTTTATTGTCGTCCGGTTTTAATAAAAATAAACATATAATTCTTAAAGAATGTCATTTGTTTCATGCAGATTGCTTTAAAACTGATTATATATTCTTGATCAGTATCCCTAGAAGAGTCGATCCAGCCATGTCCGCCTGTCCGTCCGTCTGTCCGCTTCTACGCAAACTAGTCGTTGTTTTAAGGGTGTCTGCTTGAAACTTTCGCAAAAGTTGTTTTCCTATTGCAGGTAGTACATAAGTCGGATCGAGCCGGACTATATCATATTATGAGAGCTATATAACAATCAGAAAAATTAATGATAAGTTTGCTGTTTGCTGTTTTTTATTTTTATTAGTTAGTCTTATATAATCTTATATAAAATAACAGGCGTAAGCATCAAAATGTAAGTCTTTCAGCAAATACATTTTCTTTACAAGATTTTTATTTATTTATAATATTTTATTTGAGTCGAGAAATATAAACATTTCTAACAAATAACTTTTAAAAAGTATTTGTGATGCAAAAAAGTGTTATCAAAAATGTCTTTAACTGAAAAGATTTATCATGATTTTTTATTGGAAAATTTGTTTTTCGGTAAATGTAAGGTAATTTTTTTATATATTTATGATTTTTTAAACAATTGGCCATAGTTTAAGTTTCTTTTGTTTCAGCGTTGTTTAATTTTCTTCCATTACCCAGAAACAATGACCGTTACCCGCCGATTCCATTGCCAGCACCTCCTCCGCGAAATGAGTCCCAGTCCGAGGATTCAGCTCCAGAAGCTGGGGCTCACTTGATAGAAACTGGGACAATAGTCCATGTTCTGGTGGTAAAAAGCATTATCTTCGAGGATCAATCTATTCGCAAAGGCTTCGTTCGAAAGGTGTTTGGAATCCTGCTGGTGAGTGAAATATTATATAAGTATTTGTCAGGAACCGCAATTATATTAAGTTTAAGTAATGCCGTGCTGACTAAATTAAAACTTTTAACTTTTTGTTCCTAATGAATATTTTTGAACAATTTCTTTTTAATTAAAAAAATATAATTAATTAAATAACACTGGCTTACAAATTAGCCTCAACAAATCGCGGGTATATCGATTTTATATGGATTTCTTTTTGTGCAAAAAACGTGTATTTTTCGACTTATAGACCTCTGTTATCTTCTTTAACTTCTGCGAATGACACCTAACTAACATATCACCGTATTCCCGCTTTAATTATGTATTTATGGTGGCTTAAATTTTAGCAATTTTTTCAAACTTTGTCGAACTCTAGCATTTATTGAAGCGAACTAATCATCATAGCATGTTAAAGGCAGTTAAAAAACTTTGTATTTGTAGTAAAATCAGCTAATAATGACAGGTAAAAATGTAAAATACGTTTGAAAAAATAGTACGAAACAAAAAATGTAATCAAGAAGTCAAACTGCACCGGAAGGTGGAGGTTAAATCGCTGGCAAACAAAATTGAAATCATTTGAAAGCCATTTAAAATATTTGTTTTGTTTTGTATTTATTCACAACTAAGTATAATGCTCTAATTTTGTTTAAGTTACTCAAAAATACTTTTTTTTTTCAAAAATCAACAATTCAAAAATCTTGACAAAAAAGCATATATTAGAAATGAAATTTTTTCCACTCTTTTCTATGTCCATTAAGAACAATTCATAATTAATTAATCCTGGAAGTGCTTCGGTTGGTTATTGCTTTTGTTTTTGCAGGCCCAACTACTTCTCACATGTGCTGTAATGGCTGCATTTGTTTACCACGAGCCCACCAAGCAATTTGTGCAATCGAACTCTGTTGTCGTCTTTGTCGCCATGATCGTTAACATTGTCGTCTTGGTAATGATCGTCTGCGTGGAGAGCGTGCGACGCAAGCATCCCGTTAATCTAATTTTCCTGGCCATCTTCACCTTCACCATGTCCGTGCTCCTGGGAACAGCATCGAGCGTAATGGACTCCGACATAGTACTCTTGGCCGTGGGAATTACTGCGGTGCTGGTCATCGCTCTTTCCGTGTACGCCGTGCAAACCAAATACGATTACACCGCCAAGGGCGGGATGATGATAACTTTTGTGATGATCCTTCTCGTGCTGGCAGTATGTCGATTTTCGATGCCCGAATTCGTAGATAGCTTGCCAATTGCTGGCCTTTGCGCCGTAATCACTTGTTTTTTCCTGATCTACGACATGCAGTCGATAATCGGCGGCAATCGTGCGGAACAGTTGGATCCCGAGGAATATGTGTTTGCAGCCTTGACTCTGTACCTCGATGTGGTTCGCATATTTATTTATATCCTTCGGATTCTAAGGAATTTTAAATAGTGTGGCTAAACTCTGATACAATTTCTTTTAAACTTAAATACCCCGGAAAGACAGATAATGCATTTTGACCTTGCTTAGCCTTAACAGAAATAACTAGCTTTAGCTTAAAAAAAATATGTGGAAAAGTGCCATTTACAATATAACTGATATGTAAAAGTAAAGAACGTTCCTGATTAATTCCAAAAACAAAACAAGGTGTTAAATGGTATTGGTTATTCATAAATTTATTAACTTACTTTTTTGGCTCATCTTGTTTTATGATAGTTACATTACATTTATATTAATATACTTTATATGTTTGTCTATGCATGAGTAACTATAAAATACAATCACAAAATGTATGCCATTTGATGTTCTTATCTACTTACAGTTGGGGCAGTTAACTAAACAGGGTATTTACAAATATCGATGCAACAAAAACATGGAAACAGTCACACAGATATTCATGCAGATTTCGTTTAATAAGTAACTAGGGCTTGACTAAACTGTTATAATTATTGATAAGCTGCACAGCCTAACGTAACGCTAAATTACTGTGCTCTGTCTGTCTTGAATACCAAATCGTCTTTCGATCTCTGCTTAACTGGGAATCGAATGCGTTTTAGCTACTTCATTTTGGGGTCTCTCATTTTTTCTTTCTTGAGTTTCTGCTAATCTTGGTTTGTTCCGCTGGCTCCTGAGTATCTGCGTGTGTGTGTCGGTAGAAAACGTTTTATCAAATGCTTTGGCCCCGCCCTCGTAAACTTCTCATCCCAGCAGGACAAGCTCAGTCGTCCGTGAACGGATGGTCGGATGTCTCGCTGCTGTTGCGCCGCCGGCTCTCCAGTATCCGGGTGGCCTGCTCCAGCGTCTCCTTGTAGAACATATTGCGGGGACTATCGCTGGGCAGCGAGTACTCCGAGTTGTCCATTTGCGAGGTGAGACCCAGCACAATGTTGAAGGCGGACGCATCGTAGCCGTGGCATCCGGAGTATCGGTACAGTGGTTTTTTATTAAACTTGCAACCATTCGATTGGGCACCTGCATGGAGACATATATGATATTAGTAATTTGTTTTAACTTAGTTTTTCGATATGTATTTATATTTACAAGAGAAGGCTGTTCACTAGAGTTGTTGTTGTTGTTTTTATACCCTTGCAGAGGGTATTATAATTTCAGTCAGAAGTTTGCAATACTCTATAAAGTTTATATATTCTTGATCAGCATCACTAGGAGAGTCGATCTAGTTTGTCCGTCCGTTTCTACGCAAACTAGTCTCTCAGTTTTATGAAATGAAACTTTCCCAAAAGGTCCGGAACGAGCCGGATCGGACGGCTATAGCATATAGCTCCCATAAATAACAATAAAACAAAATTATAACTGCTGATTTTTAATTTTTTTTTAGTTCTTCGACATATAGTAATGGTTAAATATTTCAGAATTACGATTTAAATTTCATAAAAATCGGACGACTATATCATATAGCTCCCATAGGAACAATCGGAAAAAAATACAAAAAAAATTATAACTTTGCTGTTTTTTAATTTTTTTTTATTAGTTGTTCGACATATAGTAATGGTTAAATATTTCAGAACTACTGTTTAAATTTCATACAAATCGGACGACTTTATTATATAGCTCCCATAGAAATAATATCAATATATAAAATAACTATCTAATAATTGAGCTGCAAATCATCATAGCTTCAATGTTTTTAAACATATACGCAAGTAAATCTTAATTTTACTGTTTTCAAAAATATTTAATTCTTGCAATAGCTGCAAGGGTATATGAACTTCTGCTTGCCGAAGTTTGCTTCCTTTCTTGTTTATTGTAACTTTTCTATTTTGTAATTTTTTTTAAAATTCTTTTTGACTTATTAATAATTTGACAGTTCAGGATTACGCTTTTAATTCTTTTAAAATCGGAAACCGATATCGTATAGCTGTCATAAGAGCTTTCGAATAACTGGGCTGCATATCATCATAGTTTAAATGCTTTTAAACAAGAATATTTGATTTTTGAAATAGCTGCAAGGGTATATGAACTTCGGCTTGCAGAAGTTTGCTTCCTTTCTTGTTTCCACTAACATTGACAAAAAAATAAGTAAAATACTGTGGCTATTGTTTTTGTAAATATTTTCATTTGAGTTTCAATAAAAAAGTTAACAAATAGAAGCTTACATCTATCCCATATTTATGTTGTTGTACATATATAAATATTATAATTATTTTATATACAAAAACTGACCGTGGATCCTAAATGTTTATACATTTTTATGCTTTCTTATATTACACAATGTTTTAAAGGAAGGAATTTTTATAATTTTTTCAAGAAAGATAAAAAAGAAATGAAAAACACAAATATTTTAAAAATACTTATAATCCAAATCCAAACATAAAAAAAAAATCGATTTTTTTAAATTTCTAGACCAGAGTACCTTAAAGTTGCGTTCGTATTAATATAACTGAAGTTGTTTTGTAAAAAATATATTTAAGCTTTAACCAATTTGTTATTATCTACGTTTTTTCTTTGAGTGGTGCGTAGTGATTATGAAAACAAAATGGAAATAAAGTGTACCAAATTAGATAAACGATTAACTGGAAAACGCTGCTTATCAAATACAAAAATATAATTAGTCGAACGACAGGAGTTTCACCTCAGTCGGTTGATGAAATGGCTACCATATTGATGGTGGGAAAATCAGAAGTCCCTGGCATCGCTGTACAATGTGAACTGCTGTTGCCCAATGGACATTTGCCAAGGACCTATGAATTCGACATAAAGGATATTGGACTTCGACGTCGCCTTGTACGCCAGTTCTATGGAATACTTATCGTAGGTTATCTGAAACCCATTTAAAAAGCTCAGATCTGTTATTATAAACTCATGAACTCAGCTACAGGTGATCTGCAGCTTGCCCTGCCTTGAGGTCCTACTGAAACATAATTTGCCTTACAATTATGTAATGCCCATATCTATGGTAATCACCATGTTCCTCTATAGCTGTTTTTACCTTTGGCCGGAGTGGAGGAGACGTGCTCCTTACAACTACCTTGTGCTTTTGCTAAGTACAGCCATCGGATGCGTCAATAGAAGCGTATACCTATTGAATTTAGTTCAAAATCATTGGGTGAGTCCAAAATTGGTTTGTTAGCTACTGACACATTTTTACATCGACCTTATGTGGTCTAACTTAGTTTAAATGTCTTTGATCAGCTTCAACAGAAGAGTCTATCTTGTTTCGCCTGCCTGTCCGCCTAGTGTCTTAGTCTAAATCTATCTCAATGTATCCCTGACAACTTTTGCATGTAATTTAAATTAATGTCGGTCTTACTCATATATTGGGGGCTGTCCATACACATAGTACGTCATTATAGTTTTGGCAATTTTTCTTTCTAAAAAATTATTTCCGCGGTATACTCTATTCATATAATTTGTGGTATGATTTTTAAATCAACAAACAAAATTTATAAAGTAACTCATAAGGTAATTGGATTAAACTTGATTGTCTAATTATACAGAATATTTAACTTGGACATGATTGACCACAACTACTTGTTTTGTAGGCCTACTGCTATCCCATTATTCTAATCCTGGAGATCCTGGCTTTGATGCTGTTCTCTACCCAGAAGCGATTTCGGTTTACCCAGATCCGTGGGATTTGCATAATATGCCTCGTCTTTGGGTTGTTCCTACTTCTGGCCTACCGCCTGAACCGGATGGTAGAAGTCTTCTCCGGAATGGCTTGCACTGTGGAGGCATGGTACATTACCTACGACACCCACTGTATGCTGTGCGGGCTGCATGGCTACAATCTTGGACCCGAAGAGTGTGTATTTGCCGCGTGCAACATCCACTGCGATTTGCCCAAGGGGTTATGGCGGCTTATGAATATGCTTTTCTTCAGCAAAATCTTGGAGTCCTTTCGAATGTTCCGCACTTGCTTCAGGACTGAGGTTTGCTAGAGATGTCGAAGTTGGCTTAGAAAAGTGTGTTTTCGATTCAATTTCGGCTGCCAAAACTTTGTAATAAAAACCACCATTAGCAAGTCTTAAGAAGCACATCAACGAACTAAAGCAGACGTACCAGCCCTAAAAGCAGCAGTTAAACACTAGAAAACCAATTAAAATTCTCCCACAAGTAAGGTAATAATACTTGGTTTATAAAAAAAATATCTTCTCGCCTTTGACGAATTTAAATTTGAACGATAAAAAAGCAAGGAAAAACTCCTCGAGTCGACAAAAAAATAAATATAAATAAAAACAATCTCCAGGCCCCACTAGCGAAGCAATAGAGTTCGAATTTTTTTTTTCGTTTACAAAAAATTAAGTTAAGAGACTGAAGAAATAAAGTCAATTTATACAGAAGCCTAAAAAAATATATAAAAAGAAAATCATTGACACTTCGAGACTTTTCAAAAGATCGTTATATAATTATACATTAATTGAAAACAATAAAGGAAGCAAACATTGAAGCTATGATGATTTGCAGCGCAATTATTCAATAGTTCCTATGGCAGCTATATGATATCGTTTTCCGATTTTAATAAAGTTAAAAGCGTAATTCTGATCTGGCAAATTATTAACAATAAAAAAAATTTAAATAAAAAAACAAGAAAGGAAGAAAGATTCGGCAAGCCGAAGTTCATATACCCTTGCAGCTATTGCAAAAATTAAATATTCTTGAAGAATAAATAAATAAATAAATCTTGCGTGTATGTTTACATTGAATCTATTTGAAGCTTATTTGATAGTTCCAATGCAGCTATATGATATCGTTTTCCGATTTTAATAAAATTAAAAGCGTAATTCTGAATTGTGAAATTATTAATTAATCATAAAGAATTTATAAAAAATTATACAAAACAAAAAACTTAAATTAAAAATTTTTTTTTTTTTTTATTGTTCCCATGGGAGCTTTAAGTTATAGTCGTCCGATTTTGATGAAATATAAACCGTAATTCTAACAAAAAAATTGAAAAACACCAAAGTTATTCTATTTTTTTCCGATTGTTCCTGTGGGAACTATATGCCGTAGTCGTCCGATCCGGCTCGATCCCACTTATATACTACCTGCAATAGGAAGACAACTTTTGGAAAAGTTTCATGCAAATAGCTTTAAAACTGAGAGACAAGTTTGCGTAGAAACGGACGGACAGAGGACATGGCTAAATCGACTCTCCTAGTGATACTGATCAAGAATATATATACTTTATAGGATCGGAGATGTCTCCTTCACTGCGTTGGAAACTTCTGACTGATATTATAATACCCTCTGCAAGGGTTTGAAGACAACATATCTGGACAGAGGTTTCGCTACTGAACTGGGTGGTCGATAAAAAGAATTTAAGAAATTTAATAGGGAACCATTGGAAAAAGGTACTTCCATAGACAAAGGAATACAAAAAAAAAATGCCAAAAGACCTTTCAGCCCGGGAAACAGAAGTTACTTCAGGTCGTAAAGTCTTCCGTAATATATAATTGAGTCTAAACAAACTGTCACTGTCATGTTTCTTAACATAGACAGATTCTGCAATACAAACATAACTTCTGAGGAAGTATCTAAAGAATCGTTTGAACAGCTTAAAAGCATTCAGAAACAGACGACGATGAGTTTTCTGTGGAAAAACTTCTGACTGAAATTTAATGACCTCTGCAAAGTATAAAAGTAACAGAGTATACATTTACATAAAGTAAACACAGAGTTCATTATAAATTATGGGAAGTGAACAAAGAGATTTGTTATTACAAATATGTGAATATTATTGACTTTTTCGTTGGGAATTTTGGCAGGGCTCAAAAAGCTGTCCAAGTAAAATCATAGTCACGTTTGCCACAAATCCCTATTCAGATGATAATTACATAAATTTCCTGATGGGAGTGCCATCAACCGAATGCCGTGCAAATGACGGTCATTAGTACACAAGCCCAGCCCCAAAGGAGAATGGGGCAGGGTAATGGTGGCCCGAGTGTGGGTTTGATTGATTTATATTGGCAGCAGAAAGAAACTCATTCCTAATGACAGTTTTCCATATCGAAAAGCCACCCCCAACTGCCGACTCACCGATTGGATCGATGCACTCGAGGGTGAGGCAGCACTTCAGCCAGGGCAGCATGATCTTCTCGGTTACTAAAGGACTGTCCGAGAAGAAGACCGCATCCAGATCGACCATCCGCAGGAAGTTAAACTCTTCAGCTTTCGAGGCGAAGTAGTCGAACATTTTGGGATGCGTGAGCGAGGACACCGCTGTTGGTGTGTTCCAGCCAAGGACACCTGCGTTCTTGACTCCGGCCCTCTTTACTCCCGGGTTCATCACGATGCTCTGCAGACTCTGCAGCTGGGCCGAGCCGCCCCGCACCCGCATGTTGTTTTCTAGGAAGAGAACCGATCGGGCGCGCATCAAGCCGTCCTTGATCACGATGGGCCGATAGGCGTGTGTCCGCTGATCGCCGACGAAGGAGGGGAACTCCGACAGGTCATACGTTATCACCGAGCACCGGCTGTTGTTGCAGTAGGCGCCCAAATCGCGCAGCTGCTGATCCGACACACCCAAATCGTAGATGAGCAGGTATTCAGTGGGCAGCTTGGCGGCAATGTTCTGGGCCAAGATGATGGCCGATGCAGCCTGTCCCTCCAGCACATACGTGACGATGGTAAAGTTGCTCTTTGTGCCGTTGTACGGCGTTGTAACTCGCTTGCGCTGTCCACGCTGCTCCCCATCTCCCGGCTGGCCACCGAAGGACGCAGCATCCTGGGGACGCCGCAGTCCTCGCAACTCGATGAGCTCCTGTTCCGCCTTGGTGGCCGGCGCTGGGAAATCTGTCTTTGGCAGGATCTGATTAGAAGAACCGATAACCGTCTCCTGCTGATCCAGCTGCTGTTGTTGGGTTGAGACATCCTTTGATGAGGTGAAGCCTAGTAGTAGCAAATACTTCGGGTCAATGTCGAGCTTTTTGCGCTCTAACCCAACGCGAAGGTTCTCCTGCAAGAAAAAAGCAAGGTTTTCGATTTATACTAGACTTAAGAATTTAAATAGTTGTAAATGCTTAAAGAAAATAGTTCAAGTTATTCCAGGCGTCGGAAATGGGCAAGTAAATATGGCCACAACCATTGCACCCAAAAAACCTAGCTCAGTAAGCGGAATTCGCCTCGTCATGGGAGCCATTTCTTGGCGACAAATATGAGTTGGCCCGCCGGAAACACACATGCTAGAAATCTTTTCATTATTGCCGTTGAGCACGCTCCCTCCCCGCAAATGCCCACCCAAACAAATAGCCACCCAAACCCATTTGCAAGTAAAACGCCGCCGTACAATGGAACCTTCTCGTGCCGATGTCAAACTTCTGTCTATTATTTGTTTTGACTGTGGCCAGAGAAGAGCGTGCCGCATGCTCTGGCTCCTGGTGCCACTCCCCTGCCACAAAACTGGTGTCAGGTGTGCCCCAATGCGGACAGCCGAATTGGCCCGAAGGGAAAAAATATAAATTAACATGCGGCAAAAGGCGGCTGACAAAGGCAAGGCAAAGGCACAGGCCAGGCGCTGCCAATCCAAAATCGCTCAGCAAACTTGCCCGCCGATGGCAGCTATTTTATAGTCACAGTGTACTCAAACAAAAAGTATTGTTTTAAATCAAAAACTGAGTACTATGCATCTATTTATTAGGTTAATAAACTGGTGTTCATTCCTTTCATACAAGTATATTGAATTAATCAACCTAACTTAAAAATGAAAGGGTTAGAAATCTATGTTAAAATCTTATTTATTTAAAAAGACCAAATTTAAACGCAAGCAAATATTTTATATCTAAGTAAAATGGTATTTCCGAAAATATATACTTAGGTAAGTTACGCTCATTTTAAGAACCTATATAAGTTATAAGTTGCAAGAAAGGTATATAATGTTGTATTTATATTCATTTTAAACTTTAATTGGATTATAATACGTGTCAAAACTGCAGGGATAGTTCTGGCATTCATGGCATGAAAAATTCACAAAGAGAATTTTTTGTTGCCAATTTCACCTGCTGTGAATACTGATAAGTGTTCACCACTGGATTTCGACCAAGTTTATAGGGCCGTGCTTGGAGGTTAATACAATTGGACAGAAATCTGATCCCACATCAGGATAATATTTTGTTTTATCTTTTTTTGCTTAAATTTTCACTGAAAGGGAGAAATTATCTTGACTTTTATTGTAATTAAGTATTATAAGTATTTTTATTGTCTAAGCTTTGGTTAACATTTCTGGTCAGTGTTCTCTGCTCAACACTTGCAAAGAAATCCTTGGTTCGATTCTCTACGGCGGCCATATTTCAAATATGTTTTTTTTCAGATACTAAAAGAATTTACTAATTATCAGAAATTACTAAGTTGAATTAAAGTAATATATAAGAAATAAAAAGTTTCTAATTTCTGTAAGTCAAAAATTAATAGTATTTGTTAACTTGCTGACTTTGAAAGCTCGCAGCTGGTAAACCAATGAACGTTTAAATATACTATAAATTCTAAAGATCCAGGGATGCATTACCTATCGATTTATTTCTAAATATTGGTCCAGTTTAATATTATTAACACGCGCCATGTTGGCCATTTAGGCCACTGTGCCAATCCACTGATTGTACACATACTTATCCATAACCTTCCCCGATGGGCAATTCAAATGGCGCTTTTAACAAACAACGACACATACATACAAGGTAAGGGTAGATCTAATTCGGAAGTGACAGTGATCACCTTCAAGAGTTACGGTCCCAAGGACATTCGAATCAATCAACTTTGAAGGTGCGGCACTGCACTTACATAACGAACATATTGATTTTGTGCCAATCGGTTTTCTGCTCTCTGCAGTAAAATGAAGCCACTGGGGTATGTATATTTTTCCTTTTTTTTATTTCCGCAGCTTTTCTTTTGTGTTAGAAATCGATTTCAATGCTAGGAGCCGAGTAAATTTTAAGGGGAAACAGCT